GAATGCTATACATGAATGATAATGTGTCATGCCATGTGAATGTTGAGCTGGCGTAACGAAAAAAAACTAACTTTATATATGTAGATTAACTTTTGGTTTTTTTCTACTGTTGGCACTACACAAAATTATGCATTTACACAGTGCGGTCGAATATGAGATCTCTCGGACTTCTAGCGATGCGGACACGCACTTACCACTACAACAACCCTCGATAAATCCACTCAAGACGCAAGCTTGGAAGATTCGGGTCCCAATCAAAATCTTTCATTTTCTATGGCAGTGTCTCACTGGGGTAGTTGTTGTAAATGAATGACTGACAGACAAACATTTGAATGTCGATCGACAGTGTCCACAATGTGCATATCCTGAAGAAACCATCTGCAATATGTTATTTTCATCCCCGCCAGCCTTTCAATGACGGTAACTCTCCAACGTCCCACTTTCTATTAATGACCGTATTAGTGGTGTAGGATGGATGGATGGATCTTGGAAGCATAATGTTAACGGCGGAGACTTTCGCCCCTACACTAGTCAGAATTCCATAGCTTGTTGTGGGCTATGAAGAGTTTTCTACGGAAACGTCGCTATTGCACTCTATTTATTAGATATTCGACAGACCTCACAAATATAGTTGAGGCTCCAGACGAATGACCTGGTTTCATACTGATGCTCAAGGAATTAGTTGTTCTTAGATAATATTTCCTTGATTTCAAGCTCATCTATCAACAACCATATATGAACATAAAAACCGACTTGCTTGCAAACACGACACAAAACATAAACGCTATTTTTTATTGATACTTCGGTCTCTTATTGGTTTTTGAATACAGATAATGTATTTAATCAATCGATAGGAAATGTGTTCGTGACGGAAACAAAAAAACCTGTTTCAACTTTGATTATTTTCTTAGTTTAAATATGAGACATAGGATTATGTATACTAGTCTTCAAGCATTCTTGATGGTTTAGACTATAATATTAATTCCTTAAGAATTCTAATATGAAAGTTTTTACAATTTAAAGATCTCTGCAACATATCTAACATAAACAATAACGTTGGAACAAACTAACGAAGATAAACGATAGATTACTACAACACATATACTTTGTACAGGATCAAAGGTACGTGAAAATTTCTGTGGGATTCGAAAGAGTATCTTCACTAAATTTTATGGCTAATATCATTGCCATAAATAAACACATTAAAGAGCTTGTATGAGAAATGTTCTTGAAGTTTTGGGAAAAAGACGAATTGGTTGATGTAAAGGAGATTTGGCGCTTTGTTCTACAAAGATGAATTTTATGAGTTCTTCACACATATTAAGAAGAAGAATTACTCTTTTATAATAAATGTATTAAATTTCACAATAAGCAGTTTTAAAAAAAAATTAACCAATAGTATTTCAATAACTTTTTTGAAATTTACAATATCTTAGCATTCAATGATAAAAATATATTAAAAACAGTAACAATATCTTTATAGAACAAAATTTGTTTGGAAAAAAATCATCTTTGTGGAACGGAGAGAGTATGTTTTGTTTTCTACCTATTTGTGGATATCTATGAGGTAAAAAGATATTAAGGCGAAGAAGAGAGAACTATGGCGAGAAGAACAAAATGAGCTTTGCTTACAGAAACACTTTGAGAATAAAACTCGATTCTTCGGATGTGAGGATGAAGATTTTCTGAGATATTTCTTATGTTTCTCCACCATGGTATAGACTACGAATTTTATTTTTTTTGGTTAACAAACTCCATATATTAAATCAAAGTTGGTCAGTAGGGATCGCTCCAATTGGAGTAACCCTTACCGGCTCATTGAGATCTACATGAGAAAAGATATAGTCGCGTGCACGAGCTTCTTTTGCAAGAGCATCGGCATGAGCATTTCAAGAACGTGGGATAAGGGATAAACGAAAAAACAAAAAGTTGTCTCTAAGCTCATAAAGGTAGTCTAACTAAGACAACCCGACCCATTTTTTTTATAGCATCGAATTAGCATTCTCATAAATA